CTAGGACGGATGCACTGCTAGCTGGCCTAGGCCTATACATCGTTCTTTATTGTTGTGAATAACTGAAGGTGGATTTCAATCGACTTGAGGATCGGTGACGAGCATGTTGAAGACAGTTGGACAAATCAGCGCCTGCTCCTATTTCAACTCTAGCGTCGTCCTGAGGATCAAGGCGTCACGCGTGTCCCCTGGTTTGACCTTCAGTCGCAGTCCTGAACAATTCTTTGACCACTCTCACACATGTCCAATTGTTTGAAAAACCAGTCTCACTCCTGACAAAGTATATGACCAGAAGTTTCATTACCAGTCCAATTTTTTGACCATCAGCCTCACAAACGACCACATTTTGTTTGACCATCATTATTGCGTCTGACAAATCATGGGACCACCATTCTCACCCAAGACATTTTGTTTGACCAGCAGTCTCACTCCTGTCCAGTTGTTTGACCACCAGTGGGACCATAAAAAGCAGGGGGGTGGCTGCATGTAGCTCTGAGAATTGAAAGGTCGCAAAATTAAAATCAATGCAATCTTCCTGACAACATCATGTAGACCAGGGGTGCAGGAAAGGGGTTGAGTAGAGGGCAGCATTTTTTTTTGCATGGAGGGGTGGTACTTTCTGCCAACTGCAGATTTTTCCGTGTACGGAGGGAGGGGGGCGAAATAACGTGTCCCGCCCTGGGTAGCACTAACACTAGCTACGCCACCGATGGAGAAATCGTTTTGTTTACTTTATATTTCCACTTAGGTGGCAGTGGAACATTTAAACTCATTTATTTGCTCAGGTGTAGCGTGGGGCACAAAACAACAACAAGTTGGTAAACAATAGTCTAAAGCAATGGTTCTTAGCCTGTGGTCCACGGACTCCTGATGGTTCAGTAAAAAAGGTATTCATGGACTACATAACTACATTACATTTGTAACTGTACTAAATTCATTCAAAATACTTAATGTGAGGAAGGCCTCCGTGACATTCATCTGACTGGCAAATGAGTCCTTGGTCTAAAAGTCTGTCCACATACGATTGGTGGTCTATATAGAATCCGACTAAATGTCTGTCCATTTACGATTGGTGGTCTATAGAGAATCCGACTAAAAGTCTGTCCATTTACGATTGGTGGTCTATAGAGAATCCGACTAAATGTCTGTCCATTTACGATTGGTGGTCTATAGAGAATCCGACTAAAAGTCTGTCCATTTACGATTGGTGGTCTATAGAGAGCCCGACTCCCAATATAATTAAAAAAAAATATGACGCACGGGACATGTTTGAAGTCATATTTGTTCAGCAGTGTAACATGTCCCCGTACGTGACTTCAATTTCCACCGTTCGAATCAAGTAGTAGTTAGGTTGAGATACTCAGCCGACTTGGCTTGTTTACCAAAAAAAAAAAACCAAATTAATTTTTAAAAAATCCACTCAATACAAATATGTTGCTTCATTCAGAAAACAACCAACAACACAACATGTTTCGTCTGGCATAAGAGGCGTAACTTTTAGATGAGTTTCTGTCAGATCACAGCACAAATAAAAACATACATATACAAACTTTGGGGGAAAAACCCATCGCCTTTATTAAAATGCACTAGGAAGTACAGCCTTTGTTGTTGGAGACTCCCGGACTTTCTTGCATTTAATCAAGTCTGGGAAAATCAAAGTGAAGGGTGCAAAACATTGAAGAAATAAAGAAAAGTTAGGATATAATGATCGGTGTAACAACCAGTGAGACGGGCGTTCCGCCATATTGTGTTGTTATTTAAGGTTATTTAAGAGATAAGATAAGATAAGATTCTATTATTGATCCAAATAAATGGAAATGTTTTATGATTGCATTATACATTTTCAGCACATAAATAAAACAATTTGAACACAAGACATTTATAATAAATTATTTCAAACAGCCATTCAGTAATCTCATTCAGATGTGGGATTTCAGAGGTATAGCACGCTGGTAAATTCGTACAGATTGGGGAACAAAAGAATTTTTATATCTGCCAGTCCTCGCCCTGATGGAAAGAATTCGTCCCGATCCTTAGTACCTGTGAGGAAGAGGGTGGGATGTATCATCCAAAATGTGTTTAATTTTACAAAAACATCTTTCTTCAAATAGTTCTTCAAGTAAAGGATGTTTAGTTTGTGTTATGTTCCTAGCTTTCTTGATTAGTCGGTTTATGCGGTGTTTAATATCAGACGTTGAATTCCCACACCAGCAGGTAATACTGAAATTAAGGAGGCTTCCAATAGTTGCACTGTAGAATAAGATAACGACTTGTTTGTTTACGTCGAAATTGTACAGTTTTTTGAGGTAGATCAGTCTTTGGATGAATTTCTCATACATCATTTGGCCGTGCTCATGCCATGTTAGCTTATTATTAATGGTGACCCTTAAGTAGTTATATGTCTTTACTTTCTCTACACTTTGATTTTTTATGCTGAGATCTGTAATCTGGTGTTTCCCCCTCCTGAAATCAACAACCATTTCCTTTGTTTTTGAGACATTCAAGCTGGAGAAAATTTTCATCGCACCAATTGATAAAGCGTGTAACTAAGTTGCGGTATAGGTCTTCTCCTTCAGATATTAAGCCAACGATGTTGGCATCATCAGCAAATTTTAGGTTTGGAACGGTGTCGCTTGAGCTTTGAATAGCATTGGTATATATTGTATACATTACAGGGGTGAGAACGCAGCCTTGTGGTGCCATGTGCTTATTTCTCATTAAGGGTAACTTCTGAGAAAATGAAGATTATAAAATTTAGTTTCTAAAACAAGGGGATCATGTTTGGAACGCAATTCTGCTTGTATTTTAAAAGGGGATAAGTGACAGTCTCTATTTAATGCATAGTATTTTTATTTTATTTTTAGCACTTCCATCCATGTTTGGTGTCCAAATTTCCTTCCATGTTTTGCGCCCACATTTCCATCCATGTTTTGCGCCCACATTTCCATCCACGTTAGGTGCACACATTTCCATCCATGTTTGGTGTCCACATTTCATTCCATGTTTTGCGCCCACATTTCCATCCACGTTAGGTGCACACATTTCCATCCATGTTTGGCTGTCACATTTCCATCCATGTTTGGCTGTCACATTTCCATCCATGTTCGGCTGTCACATTTCCATCACTGTTTGGCTGTCACATTTCCATCCATGTTCGGCTGTCACATTTCCATCCATGTTCGGCTGTTACATTTCCATCACTGTTTGGCTGTCACATTTCCATCCATGTTCGGCTGTCACATTTCCATCCATGTTCGGCTGTCACATTTCCATCCATGTTCGGCTGTCACATTTCCATCACTGTTTGGCTGTCACATTTCCATCCATGTTCGGCTGTCACATTTCCATCCATGTTTGGCTGTCACATTTCCATCCATGTTCGGCTGTCACATTTCCATCATTGTTTGGCTGTCACATTTCCATCCATGTTCGGCTGTCACATTTCCATCCATGTTCGGCTGTCACATTTCCATCCCTGTTTGGCTGTCACATTTCCATCCATGTTCGGCTGTCACATTTCCATCACTGTTTGGCTGTCACATTTCCATCCATGTTCGGCTGTCACATTTCCATCACTGTTTGGTGTCCACATTTTCTTACATTTTGTACGTCCACATTTCCATTCATGCTTAGTGCCCACATTGCCATCCATGTTTTGCTTCCATATCTCCTTTCATGTTTTGCGCCCACATTTCCTTTCATGTTTTGCGCCCACATTTCCTTTCATGTTTTGCGCCCACATTTCCTTTCATGTTTTGCGCCCACATTTCCTTTCATGTTTTGCGCCCACATTTCCATCCTTGTTTGATTCCCACGCTTGTATTTTTGTAGACATGATTAATTGTGAGAAAATCCTGTTGTGTCACAAACATGTTTATTATTTAGTAGCACTAACCATAGCTACGCCCTCTCGTGTATATATGTATATATATATCCTTTGAGGGATTGTGTGTTTATGTGTAAATTATAAATAAAAATACCCGTTTTACCCCCTCCCTCCTTGTTAAAACATGGAGATCTTTATCTTGCCCTTGTTTACTTGAGGTTGTCATTATTCCCTTAAAGCACATATTGATTGGCCAGTCCTAAATGACAGAGATCATTTCGCGATGGTATCAGATGGACATATTCATACATTCTTTTATCTCGCTCTCTCATGTTGATATTTATCGGCATTGAAACATTGCTATAGTTAAGGGCACCGCTATTCTCCAAAGTCCTTTAGACTGCTGTTCTCCTCACTCCTCCAGACTGCTGTTCTCCTCAGTCCGTCAGACTGCAGATCTTTTTACTCCGCCAGACTGCTGTTGTCCTCAGTCCTCCAGACTGCTGTTCTCCTCAGTCCGTCAGACTGCAGATCTTTTTACTCCGCTAGACTGCTGTTCTCCTCACTGCTTCAGACTGCTGCTCTTCTCAGTCCTTCAGACCTCTGTTCTCCTCAGTCCTTCAGACTGCTGTTCTCCTCAGTCCTCCAGACTGCTGTTTTCACTAGTCCTTCACACTGCTGTTTTTAACTAGTCCTTCAGACTGCTGTTTTTAACTAGTCCTTCAGACTGCTGTTTTCACTAGTCTTTCAGACTGCTGTTTTTAAATAGTCCTTCAGACTGCTGTTTTCACTAGTCCTTCAGACTGCTGTTTTCACTAGTCTTTCAGACTGCTGTTTTTAAATAGTCCTTCAGACTGCTGTTTTCACTAGTCCTTCAGACTGCTGTTTTTTTAAACTAGTCCTTCAGACTGCTGTTTTCACTAGTCCTTCAGACTGCTGTTTTCACTTGTCCTTCAGACTGCCGTTCTCCTCAATCATTCAGATTTCTGATCTCCTTAGTCCCCCAGACTGCGGTTCTCCTCGGCCCCCCAGACTGCTGTTCTCCTCGGCCCCCCAGACTGCTGTTCTCCTCGGCCCCCCAGACTGCTGTTCTCCTCGGTCATCATAGTTTTCACTTCGACCCCGTGGCCGTATCACAGAAAAGTAAATATTTTAATTCTTTGTTTTTCGCCAGGTTCTGTCCACAATCGATCAAAACTGAAGCTGGTGGTCAAGTATGTCATTGTGACCTTCGTGCTCGCCATTTTCCTACGGCTTCTCTACGTCAGCTGTAAGTGCACGAGACAACTGGTTGGCAAGGAAATCTGGGTTGGTGATGGCGAGACAACTGGTTGGCAAGGAAATCTGGGTTGGTGATGGCGAGACAACTGGTTGGCAAGGAAATCTGGGTTGGTGATGGCGAGACAACTGGTTGGCAAGGAAATCTGGGTTGGTGATGGCGAGACAACTGGTTGGCAAGGAAATCTGGGTTGGTGACGGGATGGATGGATGTTCTGGAACTTGGCTTTACTGAGGCGATGGATTGGTTTGCAACAAACTACCATTTGGATGGGTCTAGAAGTCAACCACGGGGGTTGTGGGGGTTGGGGGGGGTGGGGGCTAATTTTGGTTATGTGGTTGCTGAAATATTTTTTGGGGAACAATAAACGTACGCAGGTGTGATTGGTGGTTGTTGGCGCTAGTCATGGTGGGGGGGGGGGGGTTGACCACGTCTGTTTCAGTTGCTGCATGGATACAAGTTAACTGTCTTCGTTTGTGTCTTTCAGATGACATGGCAATGGAAGATAGCAACGGAACTTTGAACTCAAGGAAGGCACACGTAAGCTTTTTTACAAAAATTGTAATATACCAAGGAAAAACATTATATCAGACCTGCACAACATACGGCCCGCGGGCCACATGCGGCCCGCAAGCACCCATTTTGCGGCCCGCAAAGCAAGGAAATATTCTTTATTCTTATTATTTTATCAATAGCTTTCCCCCATTTCCTATTTTCTTTTGGCCCGCACAAGTCCTGTCCTATTTTCTTTTGGCCCGCACAAGTCTTTCATTAAGTATTACGGCCCGCCTTACATTTGGAGTTATGCAGGTCTGCATTATATGGTCAAGAGTATGGCACCAAATTAAAAGAGATTATGTTCATGAAACTTAAATAATCATTTAACAAGCATGGAGCATATCTCTATGAGTCAAAGCAGTGGCGTAGAAAGGGGGTTGAGGAGGAGGGAGGCCTTTCTCATCGGGCGGCATAGTTTCTTTACCATAGATTGGTGGCATTGTGGTGGCATTGTGGTGGCATTTTGGTGGCATTGTGGTGGCATTGTCGACAAACTGCAGAGGTTTTTTTTCCCCGTTGAAGCTGGGCAGCAAAAACCTTTTCTTCCCCCACTTCTCCCACGCAGCACCCACCCCCAAACTACGCCCCCGAGTCAAAGCACATACACGCCGTGGTGAGATCCATTCATTTAAATGTTACATGCTGGTCACGGACGCTAAGTGGCAACACTGATTTAAAAACAGATATAGTTGCTTATCAAAGTATTTTACTGTCTGAATAAGATGTGTACACCCAAGCTAGCACACAGACTCATATATTGATAGAAACAGCATCATGCTAAATAGCCCGAAGCCAAAAGTCAAAACTTTTTATTTTAATAGGACACACATTATGTAACCAATTATTGTCCAATGTTAAAAAAACAACTTGATCCTCTGTTTCTAGCAAAATTTCAGCACCACCGCCAAGCCCACTCCCCAGAAACTCAGTTTTTCCAAAGGGAGATGTATGAAATATGACATGCTCTATGGTTGCTGGTGTGAAGATTAATTTGGGTAGATGTTGTTATGTGCCTTGTGTTTGTGACGCATTTGGGCATGCAGCAAACATAAAAATGGATTTTTTGAAAGGGAAGATGAAGGAAATATGTAACGTGTTTTCGCCAGAAGTTTACCCATTTGCATAACCGTTTCTTAATAAATGATAAATCACGTACAATTACATAAATGCAAAGATAAATGCATGCATTGGCTTATCCGAAACACTTACGCTTTATTAATTCACTGTTTAATATTGCTATTTTCAACAGGGCATATCCTCGAAGCAGCGAAAATCCGCCATACATTTAAATGAAGACGTTGAAAGGACATCTGTAGACGTGTTGGAGAGTATGATGACCCGGCAGTAAGTGAATAAAAAATAGCTCGATGTCATCATCACTTGAAATTACCCTATATATTACGTAGGAAAATAACGTCATCTCTCTTTAATTTATTTCCCTCCCTTTTCTTTAGTAGTACAATGTGTCTATTCTTTAAAGAAGCGAAAAAATATTAATTTTTTTTCCCCCCAATAATTAGATTAAGTTAGCCAGGGTTAAATATTGCATAACCCCACACCCATTCCCCTCCTTCCCCAACAACCCACTCGGTAAAGATAGTGAGCTGATGATGGAACAAGATGAAATATGAACCAACGGTATGTTTTAGTGACAAGCAAAGTTTATTACAAACAATAAACAATCCATTTCTAGTATAAAAAGAACAACATCTTTTCTATAAATAAATCAAAGTTAAAAAAAAAAAAAATATTTTTCTGTAAAAGTATATTGTAGATGTATGACAGACATGCACAGTTTAAGACATTTGTATGACAGAATGGTACAGTGTAAGACATGTATACGACAGAATGGAACAGTTTAAGACATCTGTATGACAGAATGACACAGTTTAAGACATCTCTTTGAGAGGCTGGCACAGTGAAAGGAAGATGCGTAGGCCAGACGTACAAAGTTAAATATTGCTGTATGACAGAATTGAGCAGTCAAAGGCAGTTTTTTGACAGAATAACACCGTTAAAGACAGACTTACAACGTTAAAAAGAAACATTATTCATGTCGTTGTAGGAGAAGAATACAAGAGACATGTGAACAAGGGATTGGTAACATCCAGCAACCGTTTGAGGATCACATCCTTGTCTCACGCATGAGCCATTTCTTCTACTGTCCGGTGGAGAAAACCGCTTCTACATTCTGGAGGCGGTTCTTGTACCAGCTAGAATTTACAAAACCTATGAAGTAAGTACCCAACCTATGTAGTAAGTAAGCTGTATAGTTAGTACCCAACGTACGAAGTAAGTAGGCTATATAGTTAGTACACAACCTATGAAGTAAGTACCCAGCCTAAGTAGTAAGTAAGTTATACAGTTAGTACCCAAACTATAAAGTAAGTCAGCCATACAGTTAGTACCCAACCTATGAAGTAATTAATCTATATAGTTTGTACCCAACCTATGAAGTAATTAATCTATATAGTTTTTACCCAACCTATGAAGTAATTAATATATATAGTTATTATTCAACCTATAAAGTAATTAATCTATATCGTTAGTACCCAACCTATGAAGTAAGTACCCAACCTAAGCAGTAGGCAAGCAATATATTAGTATCCAACCTTTTCCAATAATTACAAAACCTACGCATTGGGACAAGTCCATTATACGAACCCCAACCCCCCCCCCCCCCCAATCACTCAAACCCAAAATATTTAACAACGATATCCAATCAACTGATAAATAGATGACAAAATACTTTGAACAAAAAAAAAATACACACACACGTACGGATTACCAGTGTTTGAACTCCATATAAGTGAAAATAAGCCAGGCCTACCAAATTCCCATCTTATTTAAAGGTGCTTTGATAACAACAACAACAACGACAACCTACTTATAGTCCATATAGCTTTCATCCCTCATCAACGTTCTGATCTCTCCTTGCAGGTCGCCGTTTGACGTCAGCGTGAAACAAGCGTATGACGGAATGACCAAGCAGGTGAAACTCTTCGAGAAAGGCCAGAAGTTAAAAAACATGCTTCGACTGTCCACTAAAATCCTATTCGTTCGCGACCCCTATTCCAGAATCTTCTCCGCCTACGTCGACAAGCTCCTCGCCCCCAACCCCGTGTTCTGGACCACTTGGGGTGTCCCGGCCGTCACGCGTTATCGCCCGGGGGCGGCGCTCACCCCAACCTGCGGCGCGGACGCGCGCTTCTTCGAGTTCGTGAGTCTGATCGTGGATCAGGAATGGGGTCTGGAGCCCCACGTCATGCCGATTTATAAACTTTGCGCGCCGTGTTGGGCCAACTACACGGTGGTCGGAAAGATGGAGACGTTCATGCGGGACACGGGCCACGTCCTGGAGTATCTCGGCCTCAACGTGAGTCAGCTGGGCTTCGAGAAGATGGACGAAGACGTCATCAACGACGCCGTAGAGGACTCGGTCAACGACGCGATGAGCGAGGAGTGGCTGAACAAAACTCTGAAGTGCATCGGAAAACTGGGCGTGGCCAGGCGGATCTGGCGGAAGTTGCAGCTCAGAGGGTTCATCAGCTGGAGGCTGAACTTCAACCTCAAGCCCGACTACGTGGCGGCAATGCAAGGGAAGGATTTTATTGAGATTCTCAAACAAACGTTAAGGGCGTCCACCGACAAGCGCGAGTTGCGTTTCCAGAAGAGGTACGCGCTGCTCGAGGCGTTCAGTGGTCTCAAACAATCTCAGCTGGAGAGCATCGCGATGATTTTCAAGCCAGATTTTATGATGTTCGGATACGACCCTCAGATGATGGCGAGAGATCTGAAGGATTTCGCGCAAACAGGCGCTTTTGATTGGGACAAGAGTTGGGACCTCAGTGAAGTTATACCCATCTTCTAGCTCTAGGGAATTTGTTGAGCTATGCTCGAGCTATAGGACCTTACTGAAGATTTTTACTCGACTACTAGGCAGCAACCTAGTAAAATGGAGTCTAATTTCTATCCAGGTTGTTATTGGAGTAAATCTCCATGTCGAGTTTGGACCGCGGAGTTATGTGAACACGGGCTGAAAATTATTTTTCGACCTATTTAGCTTATCATTTGACCTCAGCCTGGTCCACAATTGGCGTTCTGTCTCATATCTGTCTTAGCCATTAAATGGCTTGTAATCGAAGCAGGCAATATTTTGAAATTAGTACCTTATAAACTTGGACATGTTTTATTGAATCTCATACCGGACTTGACTTGGGGGCGTTGTATTAGATTTGGCGACCAATCCACGTCGTATATCTGTCACTGACCCCAAACGGAACATGTTGACCCGAAGCCGTCCTTGACATTCATGGATTCATATGGTCATCTTTCATTCACTAATTTATGGATCGGTTACACCGAATAGAGACTTTGACATAGACAACGATTCCATGTAACTCATCATTTCTCCCCCCCCCTAGGGCATCAACGCAACAGTTTATGGAGAATGGCTAAAAATTTAATGACAAGGTGCTCTAAAAGGAACGTCACCACCCATGACCCACGGTTGTCACGACCCTAAGATGACCCAATTACGACAGGGTGTCCAGGACCCTAAGATGACCCGGTTGCGACAGGGTTGTCACGACCCTAAGATGACCCAATTACGACAGGGTGTCCAGGACCCTAAGATGACACAGTTACGATAGGGTTGTCAGGACCCTAAGATGACCCAATTACGACAGGGTGTCCAGGACCCTAAGATGACACAGTTACGATAGGGTTGTCAGGACCCTAAGATGACCCGGTTGCGACAGGGCTGTCAGGACCCTAAGATGACCCAGTTACGACAAGGTTTCCAGGACCCTAAGATGACACAGTTACGATAGGGTTGTCAGGACCCTAAGATGACCCGGTTGCGACAGGGCTGTCAGGACCCTAAGATGACCCAGTTACGACAAGGTTTCCAGGACCCTAAGATGACACAGTTACGATAGGGTTGTCAGGACCCTAAGATGACCCGGTTGCGACAGGGCTGTCAGGACCCTAAGATGACCCAGTTACGACAAGGTTTCCAGGACCCTAAGATGACACAGTTACGATAGGGTTGTCAGGACCCTAAGATGACCCGGTTGCGACAGGGCTGTCAGGACCCTAAGATGACCCAGTTACGACAAGGTTTCCAGGACCCTAAGATGACACAGTTACGATAGGGTTGTCAGGACCCTAAGATGACCCGGTTGCGACAGGGCTGTCAGGACCCTAAGATGACCCAGTTACGACAAGGTTTCCAGGACCCTAAGATGACACAGTTACGATAGGGTTGTCAGGACCCTAAGATGACCCGGTTGCGACAGGGCTGTCAGGACCCTAAGATGACCCAGTTACGACAAGGTTTCCAGGACCCTAAGATGACACAGTTACGATAGGGTTGTCAGGACCCTAAGATGACCCGGTTGCGACAGGGCTGTCAGGACCCTAAGATGACCCAGTTACGACAAGGTTTCCAGGACCCTAAGATGACACAGTTACGATAGGGTTGTCAGGACCCTAAGATGACCCGGTTGCGACAGGGCTGTCAGGACCCTAAGATGACCCAATTACGACAGGGTGTCCAGGACCCTAAGATGACACAGTTACGATAGGGTTGTCAGGACCCTAAGATGACCCGGTTGCGACAGGGCTGTCAGGACCCTAAGATGACCCAGTTACGACAAGGTTTCCAGGACCCTAAGATGACACTGTTGCGACAGGGTTGCTAGGACCCTAAGATGACCCAATTACGACAGGGTTGCCAGGATCCTAAGATGACCCAGTTACGACAGGGTTGTCAGGACCCTAAGATGACCCAGTTATGAAATACAACACGTAGTTAATATTATTCAATGTTATATATTTTTGCCCCCCCCCCCGCCTCAAACCCCGCTACCAAAGTGTGTCAGTGACGAAGTTTCCCCCACCGCCTGGGCATTATTGACCACATTGGTCTGTTACTTCTCTGTTACTTCTCTGTTACTTCTCTGTTACTTCTCTGTTACTTCTCTGTTACTTCTCTGTTACTTCTCTGTTACTTCTCTTTTACTTCTCTGTTACTTCTCTGTTACTTCTCTGTTACTTCTCTGTTACTTCTCTGTTACAATCTCTTGTATTTATCACAGACATTAGTTGTGTGACTTCAGATTATTTGATGGCTTTTTTTGAAAAAGCGTCTTATAGCGAAACCGGGAAACAATACCTTTCTGGAGCAGCTAGCAGCTACTGCTCTCTGGAGATACTGCTCTTATAGGAGTGCAAGCTCATATTCTGCTCAGAATGATTGACAGTGTCAGTGTCAGTAAGGTTCTTTTCTTCTTTCCAACCGCTTCGCTTTGATATATATATATATATATATAATTATTGTAAAAAATATTCATTAAACGAAATGCCACCATTGTCAAAGGCCACCAGTCGTGATTGTACGGAGAAATTGATATTGATCAATTGAATAACAATCCTGAACAAATATACATTATTATCTGGTGTGTCCTGATTCCTTCTCGAAATCACTCCCCCGAACCCCCCCCCCCCCCTTTTCCCCCCACCACAAAAAAAAAAAAAAAAAAAAAA